GCGCGGTGAGGAGCCCACAGCGGGCCCCCGGCTCGCAGGGCCCAACCAGGGCAGAGCTGCTCCCAGGGTCATGCAGTCTGTCAACTACACCTGAAGGAGCTCCAGGGCCCATCTCGCCAGGCGCTGCAGGGACCAAGGACAATAGGGCCTCCCTGGTCCTGTCTGCGGAGGTGCAGTGGCCCGGGGGTGTGGCAGCCCGTGTGGCTCCCCACACTGGGTGTACCTTGCACTGTCTGTAGCCCCACCTCCCCACGGAGCCCCCAGGTGGTCCTCACTGTCCTGCCTGTCGCCAGGTGCTGAGGTTGCAGTCTGGTCCCGGGCGGCACTGCAGCCACCGCTGCCTGCCGCACCCAAGGGAACATGAGGGCCTCTGTCCTGTGGGCCTGTGCGGGGTCCAGCCCCCTGCACCCGGCAGTAGCCCCGCGACAGGTACCTTCTTGCTGCAGCCACGGCACGGTGCCTTGTAGGAAGAGAGCTGCTTCTCCACGTGGGTGGCCTTGTCCACCTTCCTGGCGTCAAAAGGCAGCCGGCAGAGCGGGCACAGAGGGGACGGCACCTGCAGGCACGGCTGGAGGCACTCCCCACAGAACCTGCGGACACGGGTCGGGTGCTGCGGCCATGAAGTCCCTGGACTGTCCCTGGGCCTTGCAGCCCTGCTCACACCCTGACACAGTGGGACCCACTGCCAGCTTCTCTGAGAGGCCATGCCCGTGCCCAAGGTCCGAGGCCGGACAGCACCAGCTGGCTAATAGGCTCCCTGCTGTGTGGGCACCCAGCAGCGTGGTGGCAGGCGTCCCCGCCCCGCTGGGGTCAGAGGTTGGACCCTGCTGCACCAAGCGTGTCACTACGTGGTGAGAACACATCAGCCAGCTCGGGACAGCCAGGGCTGGGACATGAGACCACAGCGGCAGGAAAGGGCTCGGGGCTGGGCCAGGTGGGCGATCTCAGGACTGCTTCCTGGGCGGGAGGGCTGTGTCTGGGCAAATCTCTGGGACACCCGTGGCACCGTCACCAGGACGGATGGCATGCACATGCACGGGCACCGCTGGAAGAGGCGGCCAGCCAGAGCACCAGGCTGAGGCACTCCCAGTGGGAAGGGAGCAGTCAGGGGCCCGTGGGCTCAGCCCGCCTCAGGCTGGACTGCAGCTGGAGCTTGTAGCTGGAGCCTGCAGGGCAGCGCCTGTGCCCAAAGGGTGAGGGGAGATCTAGGCTGGCGTGGGGGGACGCCCTGGGGCAGAGGGGAATCCAGGCAGCTCGGTACTGGGCCGGAGCCTCTTCACCACCAAGGCGCTGGGTTCCTCTAGGAAAGGTTCTCTCCACCCAGGGGAGGCCGCACTTCCAGCCAGGGCAGCCAGGGGCACCCCAGCCCTCCTGCCGGTGGCTTCTCCTAGGGTCACACCCTGCCCCTGCTCCTGGAGACCCAAGATCCTTGCAGGGGTGTGGCGAGCCCAAGGCTGCTGAGGCTGTCGGCTGGCAGTATGTGGGGGAAGACACCTGCACCTGCTCCAGGGTGGCTGCCCCGACCCAGCCACGGGCAACAGCTCTGGCAAGACAGTCCCACAGGGGAGGCCACGTGAAGACCTGCTCTGGCGTTCGCAGCAGCAGGAGGGGGAGACACCAACATGTCCGCCAGTGCACGGACAGAGCCACGGATGGCGCCATCTGCACACCCCAGACTCCTCAGTGAGGAGTCAGTGCCGATGCACAGCACACAGGGGCCGGGACATGCAGAGCGTGGACCCAGGCCACAGCAGCACCACCAAAATGTCACGCGGGGGACAACCTGGCTGGGAGGTGGCTAGGGCGTGGGAAGCGTGGGGCCTGGATTTCTTTTTGGGGTGACAAGGATGCTCGAGAACGGCAGCAATGGC